ATAATCAAAACCAAAACCTATTGACTGTCAAGGACGCTTGCATTCATATTTCAGACTACTAAGTTATCTTGTAATCACTTTTAATTTACTGTTTCCTTACACTTTAGCTTTTAACATCCCTCAAGGCTAACTGTGCATCACAGCACCCTGTGTAGCTTAGGTTTCTTATTCAGTTATTTGCTTACTTAAATGAAAAAAATGCTCAAAAACCAAGTTAATCAAACACAGCATCACAAATGGAATGTTGGAAAACACTCAACAAACATAAAATTTGGTTATAGTAATCAAACATAAAATTATAAATTTGAAAATGATATCACAAGTATTCTGGATAAATTCAGTAGACAGAGCCAAATTTTCTCATCTCTTTTACAATTTTTTCTCTATCCTTGGACATTCACTAATTACTTCTGTAAAATTCTGTATGCCTTACATAGAAAAATGTCTTCGTAGCCCATATAGATACTGTTCCTATTAGGGGACAGCTGGTCAGTATGCCAAACTTCCATATGAAGATCCAGTGTGTATTGCTGAAATTTTATTTATAGCCTTAGTTTGTATAAACTGTTTGGTGGTTTTCAATGAATTTTTTATTTTACAAGGTTTCTCCCCTTAATGTGTGTGTGTGTGTGTGTGTGTGTGTGTGTGTGTGTGTGTGTGTGTGCATGTGTTTGTGTTTTATTAGATATGTATGCATTAAGGGTGTTATGTATTTTAAATTTTGTGACTTGGTCTTGAGCTGTAAATAAACAAATATAAATACATAAATAACCAAAGTGTTTGGACCTGAGCTCATGTTTCTTCACAATTCTGTAGTCTGTGATCCCTAATTACTGATGAGTCACAAAAAATATCTATAATTTAAATATATAATCTTGTTTATAAGAAAAAATGTATCATATTCTTGTTTCCCTTTTAAAATGCCAGAATTAATTTTTATTCACTTAAGAGAAAAGTGCTGTTAAAAGAAAAGTCTTCATCCTGGTTCATCCGAGCTGGGAATAAACATGGCAACTGCTTTGGGAAGAAGGTTGTAGTTTATTGGAGAGGCAAGCCAGACAGGAAGATGGTTCTGGCAGCAAGAGAAGTAAACAAAAGGGCTGAGCACATGTAGGAAGTGGACTTTTATAACCCTCTGGAGCCTTTTGTTTGGAGTTGTTCCTGTGGCATGAATTTTGACCTGAGTCTGAATGTGCCTTTCTGGTATTCTGATGGTGATGGGTCAATCTTATTATGTCCAAAGATCATATCCTGTTTCCCTGGGGCTGATGACTCTTAGAGTTTGGATGAGGTATGTAGATTTTAGGTCTTTGTCTTCTTAATCTCCTAGCTCCCTGGACTTACATCTGCATCTCTATAGAACTGGTTTCTGCTTGGGGAAGGGAGACCTGGGGCTATTAAGAAAAACTGGGCATGCTTTCCTGCCTCTTTAAGATCCTTGGAGGAAATATATTTTTCTGCCCTTTTAATATTTCCTTCTCCGGTGGGCTGACTTCCCATAATCTCCCCTTTGTGCCATAATAGTGTGGGTGACACACTTTTATTGGCATATAATTAAAATTGATCTGATCAGGGAGACTTTTAAACTGTTAAGCCAAAATAAAAAAAAGAAGACACTAATAGAGGCAAGCAAAAAAAGATCCCTGCAGTTGCTCCAAACGGGGAGCTTCCAACCCATAAAGTTTTAAAAGTCAGGGCAAAAATTTTGTTAGGTGGAAGAGAAATGTATAGTTTCCAATATTCTGTGCCAATTATTTTCAAATGTTGGATGTCACTTTAGGTTTCCAGTCAAGTTTGCACATTCCTCCCAAAATTCTTCACAGCCATGGTTTGCCTCAGAACATAATCACTGGCTGCCCATTTTCAAGGGTTGTTTCCTGCCTTAGCTCTTAGTTCAGTGCATCCAGGTTTGTAATGTCCAATTGAGGTTAGCCAGTATGCAAGCCAGGCTATTACATTTTCTTAAATTGCACATAGTGAGCTCTAGGACTTCCAATCTGAGTCCACCAGTGCAAGATATTCAGGGCTTAGGTTTGGAGATCTCTGTCCTACTACTTCCTCAGTGAGGGCATATGAATTGCAAATTGCCTGAGGGAGCCTGGTTCCCTCCCCCTTGGAACTTGCTGGAAGTTGTTCCTACAAAGTTTTAATGACACAGGGCAAGAATCAGGCTGGAGCTTCACTGAAGGTAGGTGAAAGAGATTATGAATGGTGTGTGTGTGTGTGTGTGTGTGTGTGTATGCAGCTACTAATACAAACAGGCAATATAAACATTCTGGATAAATTTTCCCTCCCACCAGACAGACATTCAAGGTGTTCAGGACTTGCTGTGCCAACTATTCCCAAATGCCATCACTCCATAAATCCATTCAACTGGCTTATTACAATACAAATGTGGCAAAAAAGAAAACTTTACAATGAGTTTCCACCCTCCCCCCCCCTAGTCTTCCTAATTTTCTTCTGAGGCTTCATGTGGGGACCAATGGCTCCAAGACTCCTTCCTTCCTTTGCAGCATTCACATGCATCTGGAGGAATGGTAGGACTTGGGAAGATCTGTTCCACTCAGGTTGCATGGTGGCTTTTTAGTGGATGGCTGGATTCAAAACTCAATTCCATGGCTCAAATAGATGGAGGCAACATCTGGGTCAGTGCGCTCTGCTTCCAAAGGTTGGGGGGTCATCTATGCAGGGCTGAAAGAGATGAGAGCAAGATCTCCTCCCCCCTTTCTGGGTGGACTCTCCCAGGAGAAGAAGAGAAAAGGCATGGTAAACAGAGATAAGAAAAGGAGTAGTACATGAGGGGGGGGGTAGCTTACAGGCAGAGTTTGAAAAGGCATTAATACTGCAGTTGTTAAAGAAACAGATAGGCAGACAAAATGAGGACATCCCAGATGAGGACAAAAGAAAAGCTGGATTCTGATAAGAGAACAACAAAATGAAAGGTCTCACTTTTGAACTTGAACATTTGCAACATGTTAAAGACTTAAGGACTTGCAACTTAAAAAAAAAAAGCTGGGCAACTTGAGAATACTGAAAGCTCCAAGGTGTGCAATTTTCCAAGGGCAGAAGACTCTACCCTTAACATTTATTCTAAAATAGACCACATTATTTTAGAGATTGAAAAATGCTTATATGTTTCAGGAAAAGGATAGGCAGATAAAACCCATTTATAACACATACAGTAAAACTTTTCCAGCAGATGAATTTAAAACATTTCCTCCTGGTAACTTTGAGCTGTTCTTAAGAGTACAGAGAGAGGAAAGGGAAAACAAACAAACAAACAAACAAACACATTTTTCTTCACTGTTTGTTGGTCAGACAAACAGAGTGAGGGTATTTCCTTTTTGGTGGCTTATTTTAAGCAGAATTTCTAGCAGAATTTTAAAATTATTTTATCTTTGGATTAGAAACAATAAACAGTCACATTTACCTCACACACAAAGACTTTGACAAACACATATACACAAAGACAAGAGAACAGAAAAGGAAACAGAAGCCTTAGTTTTACACATCCTGGTCATTCCCACCATAAATCTCAGTAACTCAAATTAGGGAAGGCACACATTTTAAACATACCATGTGGTTGCATAGAGAGAGAAAGAGAGAGAGAATCACTATTTCTTATTTTCCCTTTAAGTACCTTTATTTAGCCAAATTGGTTTCGCAGCAAAGCCCTGAGCAAAGCCCATTTCTTATATATTTCTCTTGCTCTTTGCCTCGAGCAAACCTCCTAGGGGAGTCCTAATTGTCACCTTTGAGCTGCTGCTTCCTATGTTCCCTCTCAGATGTGGGGCTCATTTTGGCTCAGTCAGGTACAAAGGGAAAAAAGACTTCTGGGATTTTTGGAAAAAATAAAGCCTCTAGGAGGACTTCAGTTCCCTGTCGAAGTGCCCTCACCTCCTTCCCTGGGAACTCCAGGTTTTTGGACAAAAAATAGATGTCAGGAGGACTCCGGTTCCAGATGGAGTACCCTCACCTCCTTGTTTTGGGAACGTTTCTAGACTCTTTGTTAGTCTTCTCCCCAGTGCCTATGCAGGGAATACAGGCACTCCTCCCTGCTGTCTTATAGGGATTACAGGCACTTTCCAGGCACTTTCCTGAACTAGGCTTTGCTTACAGAGCCTTGCCAGCTGGTTGCCCAAATCCAATTCTCTCACTCATTCCATTCCATTTTCACACAGCCTTCTCCCGTTTCCCTAACAAAAGGTCCTGTGCTCTGGCCAAACCCCCATGCTTTCCAGGGTCTGCCCTTGAACAGATCATTTCTGCAGTTAGGAAAGACCAGAGGGAGCAAAATCCAAGTGTGATTGGGGGAAAAAAGGTCTTTTCACTTACACACACAGACATACATACATTTCCCTCACTCCTCTGGTACTCACCTTCATCTTCTTTCCAAAGCAGCCCTTGAACTCAAACTCAAAACTCCCTTTACTACCTTGGCTCCACATGGGCAGGGCCTGGGAAACCAATGCACAGACCCAAGGGGCCTGCTTCTGGCAAGATGCGGCTTACCAGTCTCAGTCCATTGGAGAGGTTAGCTTGAAGTCCCATCTGGAGTGCCATATTGTTGGATAGAAAATCTTCATCCTGGTTAATAAACATGGCAACTGCTTTGGGAAGAAGGTTGTAATTTATTGGAGAGGCAAGCCAGACAGGAAGATGGTTCTGGCAGCAAGAGAAGTGAAAAAAAGGGCTGAGCACATGTAGGAAGTGGGCTTTTATAACCCTCTGGAGCCTTTTGTTTGGAGTTCTTCCTGGGGCATTAACTTTGACCTGAGTCTGAATGTGCCTTTCTGGTATTCTGATGGTGATGGGTCAATCTTATTATGTCCAAAGGTCATATCCTGCTTCCTTTGGGATGATGACTCTTAGATTTGGATGGGGTATGTAGATTTTAGGTCTTTGTCTTCTTAATCTCCTAGCTCCCTAGATTTACATCTGCATCTCTATAGAGCTGGTTTCTGCTTGGGGAAGGGAGACCTGGGGCTATTAAGAAAAACTGGGCATGCTTTCCTGCCTCTTTAAGATCCTTGGAGGAAATATATTTTTTTGCCCTTTTAATATTTCCTTCTCTGGGGGGCTGACTTCCCACAGTGCTATTAGAATTATCTTCCCTCATTTTAAGTGCTTTGTTTTGGATCTTTCTGCAAATGGAGACTTGAGCAGCTGGTATTAGATAGGCACACAATCCCATTATAATCCCATTTTTATCTTTAAAATACATCAACACCTCCACTGTCTTCTATGAACCCTTAGGAACATTCCTATGTGAAATCTGGCCATTTGTTGCAACCTGAGGGATCTCAGCTTAGTATATTCTATTATTCTGCAAAGTCTCGCCAGTCACTCCTATAACTGCATGTGAATACCATGTACTGAAGAACTTGCAAGCACAATTGTTTCTACAGTTCTGAAGGAGGAAGCCAGCAATGTTATTGGAGCTAGTCATGGCACTGTTGAGAGAAACATATCTGATTTCTTTTTAAGGCTGAAAAATTACCATCTCAAAGAAAAGCAAAATGGGCAAATCTCCAAACAGTTTTTTGTGTACTGCTATTATTCAGTAACTACAACAAGTGCTATTAGAATAATACAAAGATAAATTCACCTGAGGAGAGATTTGTTCTTTCTTTCCTCCAAAAGAATTATTTGGCAGCTGGTTTCAGATAACAACCATTGTGCAGAGTAAGTGACAAATGTTCCTTAAAATGTAGTTGATATAACTAAGTTTCATGCCATTAAAAAAAGTGTTCTTTTTAACATTTCTTTGACCATCACTGAGAAAAAACTTTATATTATATAACATTTTGTAGCGAAGTACTAGATTAAGTAAAATAGACGATTACAATTTTCAAATAAAGAAAAATGCTGGTTTATAAAAACTGAAAATTAAAAAAATAAATATTACTCTTTTTATTTAATTGTGATTTCATAAACTGCCACTTTGAAAATGGAAGAAATGTATCATTGTGGAAAAAAATCTGGTTCCAGCTTGCTTGCCATCTTCCCTATATTGCATTTAAAGGTATCCCAGTCTGTAATTATAACATACAACATGGTCGTAATTGCAAGTGCTGTCCCATATCTGTAACCATGATATTCTGCTTGGCCAGAGTGTGGGAGAAGAAAAAAAGCTCTAAACTATGCAGACAGATTCCAGGAATTCAACATGAAAATATATCTGGGATTGATCCAGGCTGTTTGGGAGTTTTGCAGATCTTTGTAAGTCCTGTTTGGTGTATAGCAACTCAGAGTAAAAGAGCAGAGATGAAAATAAGAAGCATTCTATCTGTTTCTCCCTTCTTTTTGACAAAGATTAATGAGGATAAAAAGCTCCAGGCTACTATAGTGTTTTCAGTGACTGCTTTAAAATGAATGGCTTGCTTGATCTCAATAGCCTGGACAGGTAAGAATTCCCAGCATCAGAATAATGAATTATTATAAACTCCAGCAGTGCAAAAGAAAAAAAAAAGGCAAGCTTTCTTTTGATGCAATGCAAAGATAGGGGAGAAAAAAGGAGCTCAGCTTTTAAAATTAATTAATGTCATTTGATCAAACAGGTGCTAGTTCAGTTTTGACCTTGGGAGACTTTACCATGAATTAAAAACAATTATTCTCATTTAAACATGATTAAATTAATATGCAGCATATGATGTGAGTCTATTTTTATATATAACTGTGGTTTTAATGCAGATGCCAGATTTTGTTAATACATTCTCAAAATACTGTATATTTCTCTGTGCTATTTTTGTTCTGGTTTACAAAGAATGTATATAGTACAGAATATTTCATTATATGTTAAAGTGCACTCATATTTATAAGACATGTCTGACCCAAGCCAAGCAGGCAATAGCACATTCTAAATATAAGTCAGACTTGATAATGCAAATAAGGGCACTATGACAATGTTTAAAACATTAAAAAGTTAATAAAATTTTATTCAAGGGAATGTAACAGTCATTCTGAATACTTGCTATATAATAATGAATTCAACAAATAAATAGGACTATATTGTAAATAATCCATTCAAGGTTGCATAGGGACATAAAAATTAAAGCATGGATGTTCAGTATAAAATCTCAATATATCACAAAGAGGTTGGAACCAAATGAAGGGAGATGTCCATGTAATCTGTATTGAGCTCTGAAGCAAAAAAATGGATATAAATCTAATAAAGAAAAATTATGTGTGTATAATATGGTACTGAATAATCAATAGAGAAATTTAAAGATGTAGTTCAGTGTGATTTGGTTTTGCATAATTCATTGTTTTCTAAAGAATTGCTTATGACTTTTTGAATTGTTAAGAACCCAGCCATTTATAACTTAATCAACAAAGCATGTTTAAAGTTAATTATGACTTTAATGAAACTTGTGAGCCCAATCAAAATGCATTTTAACTTGAATGAAAGTCAACCATTATGTTTCTCATAATATTTGAAAATTATGTGAACAATACATATTATTTGACAGCTATACAAAATTAATAAATGCTGGGATCCTGTCCCATCGCTCCTGATAATGTGGTCTTTAAATGAATGCATCTCAAAACTCTTTAGGTTAGAGACTCTTGCCATTATTCTTATAACAACTATGGCAACCTCTGGATTGTGAAATCATACTTAACCATTCAAGGGCTAGGTAGAGATCAAGTTTATTCCAAGAAATTTGGAAACATTCTAGCATAAATTCCAATGCATCCAAAATGTTGTTGCTGGGTGCATAAAGCTCTGAAGAGTAGACATGAAGAATATAAAAGCTCTCCTTTTGACATAGATAAGCCAATGAGATAACTAGATTAATGTTACATCAACTGTAGGAATAGGCATTTGAAAATAACAAGAAAGGCCAAGGGGGCAGGTTGCAAACCAGAGTTCTATTTTCTAGCAAAGGAAACAACTAGGGAATTATGAAGGAACAACTGTAAGATGAATGGCAATCTAAATCCAAAGCAATGTTGTTTACATAAAAAAGACAACACAAGAGCTGATTGTGAGGTTTTAAAATCAGATTATTTTTAATTTTATCTCTTTCTGCCTATTAGATAGGAGATGTTTATATATTGATTGCAGCTCATTTGCTAATGTAAATTCAAAGCTGGTGAAGTTCCTACTTCAGAAAAAGTGCTTCCTGTGACTATGTTCCTGTCTTGTGGAAAAACTATAAAGTTATCATAATGATATACATCTAGTGGACCATCCACAGCCTAGAATGTTGAATTATTTGCTACTGAAGCAAATAATTGAACAATTACACACGTAACATAAACTAGATTTATTGAGGCAAACTACATTTGCCCAGCTGCTTGCAAATGGACTGTATAGTTACAGGATGTTTTGCACAGAACATTAATTATGACAAAACAGAGCTCTTAAACAACTACTTCTGGCTCTCTGGTGGTTCCAACACTGCTGTCTTGAACATTTTAACATTCAAATTAATTCCACATGAGATGAAATCTGTTTATCTTTTATCTTTTAACCCTGTAGGCGTTTGGCAGGAAATAGCTTGACATATATCCCCAGAGGAGCATTTGCTGGACAGTTTAGACTTAAAGTATTGTAAGTAAATTATAGTATTGTTTTATACATTTTAGGCTATGTTTTAAAATTTGGGAATTTGTGCTAATTAAAGCACATTGTATTTAAAGCTAAAATATTTATTTTGATATAATTCTTTATAATAAAAGATGTCTTCACTTTCTTAAAGAATTTTCCAAAACCAATTTACTCATGACATTAGCAACTTTGCACAATGTCAGAGAAAATCTGATTTTATATGCTTCTTTAACTTCTAACAAAGGATATGTTTTCGTTCCCAAAGAAAATTCTATTGATAATTCTACTGATGAAAACATTTTTATTTCTAGTTTCATTTTTGCTGAGAAAAATAGAAAATGAACACATTAATTACTATAAACATAGTAACTATTAATATTTAGATGTATCTTTTTTCTCATTATAGATGCAATCAATCTAGAAAAATTATTTTTGCTTAAAGCTATAGAATGTTTTTCACTTTCCTAGGATTGTCATAATTTAGTTTATATATGAACCTAAACTAACACAATAGGGGAAGAAAAATCATGCAGACCTAACAATTACAAGCATCTTGCATTACTGAAGATTATCCCATAAATTGCATTATATAATGAATTTGATACTTGGTAAATGCTATATCAAATGCAGCATTCAGATCTATCTCACAAATCTATCATGGCAGATCTTTTAAGGGACCAATATTCAATTTTCTGGGTGGATAACAATAAAGATGCAGTGTTTTTGTCTAGTTTTTACTTTTTTTCTTTTAGGTTGTTTATTTTAATCTTTTGAGTAAAATAAAAATTTGATTTAAAAAAAACTAAGTTCTGTTTTCTAGCTGGGCAAAATGCCATTATAGCCTACTTCAAGTTTTCCTGGTCAGCAAGATAATATTTTTATGGATCACTTCGTCTGATCATCAGCCTTCTAGCTTAGGTAAATACTTCACTGAGAAACCAGTTGAGTAATTACAGTCTTGTTGTATACTCAGCATAGCGAGCTAATGGAAAGGTACCTAATTAAACTCTTACAGCTTTGTAGGATAAGTTAAACTGAAGGATAAAGCAGATGCAATTTTTTAAATAGTTTTATGACAGTGGAAACTTAAAACCTAGGTTTCTAATATTCTAATTCTTAAATAAAGTTTACACAACATTGACACTTATGTAATATCAAAAAATAGTTATTGTACCTAAAATTCAGGTTTTGGATAGCAGTAATTAACAAGATCTTTCTGTGGAAAGATTAATGTAATTTATATTTGTAGTTCTAATTAGCATAAGACAGCAAAATTAACTCTTTTTTTTGTTCTCCTATTTTATGTGCTAATGTAGAATGCTTCAGAACAACCTGTTAAGTCAAGTTCCTTCTGAAGCACTTCAGAACCTACACTCTCTCCAGTCTCTGTAAGTATACACATATTTGTTATGCCAGCTTATATTTTTTAGAATTAATCTCAAAATATAATATTATTCAAGCTATCTTCAGAACTGGAGCCTTCATTTGTGCTGACATATTTGAAGAGTGCTCAGGTGGCAGAAAATTACATTTGGATCCTTGCAGTTCTGACTATTTTCTGTCTACAATAGCAGGAAATATATAAACACAAAGAAATATTTGTGATGCTCTACCTTCTTCCTGGCTTTTTGTTTAGCTTTCATTTTATTCCCTCTCATTACAACAAAAGGAAAGGTATCTGTTCTATGTTTAGTCCAGCAATAGATTTATCACGTACAGAGCTTTGCTGCTTCAGTTTAGGAACCACACTGACTCCATAACTTTATTCCGCTGCCTCACTTTATACATTTGGGTGTTGTGTCCCAATGCAATACCTAGAAAGAGACCATTTTACTGCAGGCTGAATAAATATCATCTGAATCTAGGAAAGATCAGAGAGCTGGAGAGGTATGGGGCAGGGTAGGAGAATTGTTTAGATACCAGTTGCAGAAGAATCCTGTTATATCTCTTCTTTGACTTCCCTAATCATGGCATTTCTACCACAAGGAAGACTGGGTAGGATAGAAAGTTGGAGGTATTATTGGATTTCTTCTTTGAGAACCTACTGTAAGTCTTACAGTTGCAATTGCAGACTCAAGAAATTACAAAACTATAACATTGGACCTAGAGCGCTAATAATTCAACAATAAAAATTTCATCTGAAGTTGTAAAAATATAAATTTCATCTGAACTATAAGGGGTATATTTTTCTCCCAGAACTATGCTTATTACTTAAATAATGTAAAATAAATAAATAAATAAATAAGGATTTATTTTCCTCAATATTTTGACCTGTTACAGATATAATTTTTTCAATATGGTAAATCCTTTCATTTAAATATAATGACCACTACTCTGTGTGTGTGTGTGTGTGTGTGTGTGTGTAGTGTGACCCCTATTGCCACTATAAATGCCTATATATGTACACTTTTAATAAATTTTATTTTTATTTACAAAGTTAAAATATAAACTTCAATAGAAAAAAGGGAAACAAAAACAAAACAAGAGAAAAAATATGCATGAAAAGACATACACATAAAGTGCCCAAGTTGAACACCAATAAATATATTTCAACAATAATAATTTTTCCCCTTGCAAAACAGCTCTACAATCTATTAACTTCTACAGTTCTATTTGCCCAGCTAATTTGACTTACCATCTACCTATTGTAAAAAAAAAAAATAAATTAAAACCCAACCACAAAACAAAACTTCAAAGCCCTCTATTAACAATCTACTATTGTATTTCACACAGAGAAAGTCCACAGTGGCTTCTAATCTACCATAAACTATTGCAGTCATTATCTCTGATCTGTCCAGGATCAAATATCTTCAATTAATAAAACTTTTCTTTAAAATTATAACTGGGATTTTTCCAAACAATTGCATCTAATTTCTCAAAGTCATAGATCTCTGTTGTGAATATCCCTGCAGGACTTGTTTCAGAAGGTTTTCGTACAAGTTGAACCACCTCTCTTAACAGTTGTCTTCTGACTGAATATAATAAGTCTATTCCACAATCTCCATCAGTTTTCTCCTGCTCATCACTCATCCATGCTGCCATCTCTTAAGTTTTTTAATTCATGCCCCTTTCAGCGTTCTCCAACAAGCCTGAAGTTCTCAAACAAATCTTCTTCTCCTTCAATACTATCAGCAACAAATTGACTTCCAATCCACCCAACTGCAAGTCTGATTTAGCTGCTGTTACTTGTATCTGAATGTCATCCTTAGGTTGGTTTATAACTGTTCTTAAATCATCAAAACTTTTATCAAAATTTTCATTCAGCGCTTATAATTTGAAAAGTATTTTTTTGAAGGAGGCTTTCACATTAAATTGATCTGGCTCTAGCTTTTCTTTTATGTCTCTTTTTGTGGACATTGTAAAGAGTATGTATAATGTTAAATATCTTTAATTTATTATTTTCATTTTTAATATAATCCAAATTTATAGTCTGACTTTCACAACAAAACATAGGCAATTCCTCTCAAGGACAAACGTAGATGTTCCATAACAAAATGACCACAGTAAAAATTAAAATAATATTTACCATGATGGGGAGTAAATAGAAAAGAAAGGGAAAATTCCAATCTCTTTAGAAAGAAAAAGAAAAAAAGACCAGAGATGTATGCAAAAGAAAAATAAAATGGCAAAATTCTTTTAAAAGCTAGTAAAATACAAAATTCTTGCAGTATAAATCTGATTCAAATGTAAATCAAATCAAATCACTTTCATTACCAAGGAGAAAGTTTTTGCACCATTGGTGTCTATGCAGCAAAAGTGTTTCATAATTCCAAAGCAAAGCAGTAAAAAAAAAGAAAAAAATATATTTTATGTCCAGCAAAGGGGTATAAAATAAATCGGCATTCAACCAGACAATGAATTAAAGATGTAAGTCAAAAGCAAAAAAAAAAAAAGTTCAAAAGCTGATGTTTAAAACTGATGTGCACATTAAAAAAAAGTGACAGGAAAAAACAGAGACTCAGTCTTCCAACTGCTCATACCAAGAATTGTAATCATCTAGATTTCTCTTCCCTGGCAAGTACACGATTATCTGAAGATCATCTTAGGTCAATCCTAGTTGCTCCCATTCAAATCTGGGGAGCCTGCTGCCAAAGGACTGGTTTTGGCAGTAAAGTCAGCTGTTTGTTGGCAGGAGAAAAAGATCACCCCAGTGCTCAGCAGATCATTTTCTGGAAAACTCCTGCTTTTATAGTTTTAAATCATCAAACTGAGAATAGTATGTGTAATTATTTTAGTATTTTAATATTTTGTTTCTGAGTTTAAAAATAACATTTTTACATTTAAAATAACCTGTGGATAGCTAAAAATCACAGTTATGAACATTTATGTGTGATGTCAAGCATTTATTATCCAATTTAATTTTTAAAGGAAGATACTACCTGAATCTGAAAAGATTGGGCAAGATAAAAGTACTTAATTTAAAAGTACTTAATTCTATTAATTATGAAGTGGAAATTCTGATTATTTATGACAGAAAACTTCAAAGTCTAACATTTGCCACTAGAAAAAAATGGACTATAGTAATGATAGCTCATGTTAAGTTTGGTGCTCGATGAGGAATCAATGAGGTAGCAGGTGAACAAACAACTCTTTATTTAAGGTTTAAACAGAAGCCTTCCATCAGCCATTAAATGACTCAACACAGCCCCAACCCCATATGGTGACGCATCACAAGCGATGCAGACAGGCAGCTTTTCGTTAAAATGCATCAAAACAGAGTTTGAAGACAGCTGTGATTTGACTGCTGAGAAGCTCCTATCGTGGACATTGGTCCACTTCCACTGTGCATGTTTGTCCAAGAGCTGGTGTAATAGCTCTGCCACTGCGGCCTTTTGAGGTAGGAAGGCATGATAAAAATTGAGCAGTTCTAGAAACGCTTGGAGCTCCCCCTTTGATTTTGGACTGGGGGCCTGCTGAATTGCTTTGAGCTTGGATTCAGCAGGATGAATGCCTTGGGCATCTATACAGAAACCGAAGAACTCAGTTGAAGCTACCTCAATCTTAACATTTCTCCTGCTTCAGCTTCAGCCTCGCTTCGCGGAAGTGCTGAAGGACGGCCTTGAGCTGTTCTGCCAATTTTTCAACTGATTCCCCAGCTATGAGGATATCATCGACATATGGGCACATGCCTGGAATACCCTTGAGTGTGCACTCCATCACTCCCTGGAAGAGGCCTGGGGCAACACTGACCCCGAATTGTAGGTGCTTAACTTTGAAACCTCCCCTGTGAGTAACTGTGGTTTGAGCTTCTGCCGTGGCATCATCCACTGGCAGTTGCTAATAGGCTTGAGCCAAATCTAACTTGGCAAAGATGCGACCTCCCTGTAGTGATGCCAAAATGTGGCTAACTACAGGCACTGGATATGCATGTTGTTGGAGTGCTCTATTGATAGTGCACTTGTAATCTGCACATATTCTCACTTCTCCATTGGCCTTAAGTGGCGTACCTATGGGGTTTTCCCATTGATTGCTATCAACTGGCTGCAGGATGTCTTGCTGCACCAGCTTGTCCAGTTCTGCGTCGATCTTCTGCTTGAGGGCGAAAGGCACTCTACATGGCTTGATTCTTATTGGAGTTATGACAGGATCAAGCTGAAGAGCTATGGGAGGACCCTTATATTTCCCTAGGTGAGGGCTGAAAATGTCAGCAAACTCCTGGCAAACTGTTGCTAAGTCCACTGCTTGGGTGCTGTTTATTAAAGTTATATTGATTCCCAATGCATCAAACCAATCAAGCCCAATTAGGCTTGTGCAGTTGCCCTCAACTACTACAACTTCCATGGGGGCCTCAAATCCCTTGAATTGCACCCTGAGTGTAGCTTCCCCCTTGACTGTTATTCGGGAGTTTTGGAAATCTGTTAAGACGAGGTTCGATGGCTTGAGCTTAACTCTTTTGCCGCTGTGACTACAATTGTGTTTGAAAGTCCCCTGGGAAATTATGGATAATGCGGACCCCGTATCTAGTTCCATGTTGCATGGAACCCCCTGCAACTTGACTTTGAGCCGCAGTTTTTCCTTAAGGGGGCAAAGGGCACCTATTCTAAGTACGCTCCTCCTAGTGGCCCAATAGCCCACCCTGTGTTGCCCCAGGGCCCTGGTACCTTTCCGGGGAAACTCTTCTGGTGGACTCTCTCTCCGACGACCCTGACAGACTACGGTGATATGGCCTTATTTGCCACACGCCCAGCACATTGCTGTGCAGAACCTGCAATCCACGCGTTTGTGTCAGCCTCCACACCCTGCACATCGAGAGAAGGGAACTGCCTTGTCAACCGGGCGTTGTGGCCTTTCTGGTGGCTGCTGTAACCAATCAATCTCTTGATTGGATTCGGAGTCTTCGATCCTCTCAGCGCCCTCCTGGTGGACAGCCTTTATGCAGGGAGTGCTC